TTATATAATATATTTTCAAAATATTATTTTATCTAGTAAATGAACAATATATATTTTATTTAATCATAAGTCAAAGATTAACATTAAAATAAATGACTGAAAAAAATCAAAATTGAATGAATAATTGGGAAGGGAAGTAGTATATATCATCTCAAATATATATGTGCAAATAACACTACATGTTGTGAACACAGTGCCCCAAAAAGAAACTGCACGTGGAATAATATGAATACACATACCATTCCAACTCATGTTTGTATCAGACTTTGAACATTATATTGGGTTATACTATAATCTAACACATACACACACCCTTATTGGGTGTCCATCAATTTTATTATATGAGCTTTGCCAAAGCAACTTATTCATTATTTATGTCACTTTTTTTTAGCTAGACAGATCGAATAGAATGAATTGATTTTTTAATGTATTATACATGCACGGAGTATGTGATAGAAATATGGAAGTTAACGATAGCAAAAGGCTGTATTATTATTATTATTATTATTATTATTATTATTATTGTTGTTGTTGTTGTTGTTGTTGTTGTTGTTATTGTTATTGTTATTGTTGTTGTTGTTGTTGTTGTTGTTGTTATTATTATTATTATTATTATTATTATTATTATTATTATTATTATTACTACTACTACTACTAATACTACTACTACTACTATTATGAAGTATAACTATTGGTACTTTCTGTAGAAATAATATTTTCCAATAATGATTTGGGAGATTACATGTTCTATATATATACAAGAGTTTCCTAAAGATGGTAGGAAACATAATAATTAATACACCCTATACAAATATGGTAGCTACCAATGTACATAAATATTAAATATAGTAAATATATATTTACATATTTAACAGTCTTAGTTTATTCGTGTAGTGCCAGGTGGATTGTTGCATCCGCCTACCATTTCTTAATAGAAATTGGAACAAATTACTATGAATTTTGTAATTGAACTTCCCTTGTCAATTAAGAAGAATGTTGCTTTTTTGGGTGATCGTTGACTAGTTGACCAAGTCAGCTCATTTCATATATATCGGACGTGACACGTTATTAAAAGGTTAGCAGAGTTATACATCCATGAATTCGTAAGTTTGCGTGTTGTGCCTCTGTCGATCATTTCTGATCGTGACCCCCCCCCCCCGATTT